GGGGGGGGATGGGGGGTTATGCTCCTCTGGGATCGGAGTCGTATTTAAGTTTTGGAGATGGAGCCGTTTAGCCTATCAGTTTTTATAATATACCTAAGTGACCGCAGTAGACTGGCTTTTTTTTTGTTCTAAATATGGTAAAAATTGGGGAGAAGTATAAAAGTGATACATTTCAGTTGTCTTACTTATATGTTTTATTACAGAATTGTTATTGTTTTCTGGTAACAAATGCACTAGTGTTTGTTTTTTGGTATTCAAACCAATCTGAAAAGCTGGACATATAAACGATAGTCTTAGATCAAAAAACATTCACCGCGTCCACTTTGACCGGCTGTCGTGATGATACCGATAGTCGCCCGGGTCGCATCGATCATAAGCTTTATTGGCACCACAAAGTACAAACTTAAAGGTATACTCCACGTTTTGCAAAAAAAATAAAAATAAACGCACACACATTAATAAAAGACAAAAAAAAAATGTGTATTCATTGATTTTCTGCATTGGAACCTGTAAAGCATTGCAACCTGAGATCAGTGGATGGCAGATGCAATGCTCTGGTTCTTGCAGACTGGTCCTCCAGTCCCTGTCTGTACCAAGGTTTGGACTTCCTGTTAAAGGGATGGGAGGAAGTGTCAAAGGATTTGTACTCAATTGACAGCTCTATTGAGGGCTCCATTGAAACTCCTTTGAGTGCACCATTGAGAATTCCATTGAGTACACCATTGAGCAGTCCATTGAAAAGTCCATTGAGAAGTCCATTGAGTACATCTTTGAAAAGTCCATTGAGAAGTCCATTGAGCACACCATTGAAAACTCCATTGTGTACCCCATTGAGAAGTCCATTGAGTACACCTTCGGAAACTCCACTGCGAACACTATTGAAAACTCCATTGAGAAGTCCATTGAGTACACCATTGAAACTCCATTGAGTACACCATTGAAACTCCATTGAGTACACCATTGAGAAGTCCATTGTGTACACCATTTAGAAGTCCATTGAGTACATCACTGAAAACTCCATCGAATACACCATTGAGAAGTCTATTGAGTATACCATTGAGAAGTCCATTGAGTACACCATTGAGAAGTCCATTGAGTACACCATTGAGAAGTCCATTAAGTACACCAATAAAAACTCCATTGAGTACACCATTGAGAAGTCCATTAAGTACACACCTGAAAACTCCATTGAGTACATCATTGAATACTGCATTTAGTACACCATGGAGTAGTCCATTGAGTACACCATTGAATACTGCATTGAGTACACCATTGAGTAGTCCATTGAGTACACCATTGAGTAGTCCATTGAGTACACCATTGAAAACTCCATTGAATGCACCATTGAGTACACTATTGAGAAGTCCATACAGTACACCATTGAAAACTCCATTGAGTACACCACTGAGAAGTCCATAGAGTACACCACTGAAAACTTCACTGATAACACTATTGAGCACTCCATTGCAGTGATGGGACTTTCCATTCACAGATCCTGTCAAAGGTTCTGTGAATGGATGACGCGGCTGTACAGACAAAGCCACGCACAGCCTGCAGGGACAAGAACCAAGGGATTCTGGTAAGAGAGGGGTACATGGAAACAAGGTCAGAAAGTGGAGTTATTCTTTAATGTGTCCCTTACCCAGTATAATTCCACCCTTCTATACTCTGAGCCCATCTACACGATGCATGCCTGGGAAGTTTTCAATCACAATGGATTTTTCTTAGCTCGAATCTGACAGGTCAGAGGACGCGCCATTGTTTTGCATTCAATATTTTTGAACTGAATTTAAAAACAAGTTTCCCGGAGGAAAGCCGCATTCATTGTTAGAATTTCATCCTGCTCCCTCGATGGGAAGCGATCGTCGATTGGACCCCCATTAACTATTAGAAACTCAAATGTTCCCAAAACAAATTGTTTCGAATGCAGTTCTACTGACGCATGGCCAGCTTTAGTCTGAGAAAGCGAATGGCAAAGCTGCCAACGCTGTTGTCTCAGGTGGTCTGCAGAGGGTCGCTGCCTCTGCGTTTGCGTTTCAGGCCATTAGGGGGAAATGAATAAGTGAATAGGAAAGTGGTCAGGGCAGGAGTGCTCTGTGGATTTAGTAATCTGACAAGCGAGGGGCAGGAAGGACGTTGCAGGTCTGTGATGGGAAGGGGTGGGTGCTGGTCAAATAATGCTTTGGCAGGTGAGAGGTTAACAGGACAATGCTCTTCAGAAAGACAACCACCAGGATGGGTGCAATGCTCTGCAGACTACCATGTCATACTGTATCTTGCCTGGCTCTGTTTTGTGCATGTCCCCATCCCCCCCTTTCTGTCATCACCGCAGCATAGAGTATGTGAACAACACCTCACCTTACAGAACTGACTGCAAATATATTTCTCTATATATATTTCTAGCTCGTCTCTCTGTGCTTTATTTGTGCACTCACACGTGTTATACAAAAGGGAAATATTGTACACGAGGCTCAGCGGGATTAGGCTGCAGATGAGGGTACTAAATCTTTTCTTTCCAGAGCTGTCTTACCTGCAAATGTATTAAACTGCCACCAGGAACTGAAGGCCAGCACCTTCTCAATAATGACTACTTGAGGGCCTTGGGAAGCCCAAAACAGCCTCCATTACCCTAATGGAGACCTCAGCACAGAAGCTGGCCACTCTACTCCCTCATTCCATGCTTTAGTGAGTTCAGTCTACGGTAGGGTTGCCACCTGTCCCGGATTCACCTGGACAGTCCGGGTTTTGAGTCCTGTATGTGCCGTTTGCGGGTTTCAGGCCAGCTTAAACCCAGACACAGCACCTACGGGACTCAAAGCCCGGACTGTCCAGGTGGCAACCTAAGTCTACGGGATCAACAGTAAAGCTGGCCATACACTCTTTCCAAATTGGATCTTCAGAACATTCGATTTTGCCATCAATGAGTCAATTACTCTTGTTTGAAAGCCCTTACAAATGTCCTACCCCCGCACTGCAAGGGTTTAGTGGTTGTTTTGGTCTAGGGAACGGAATAAAGAAGATATACTCTCCTGATCCTCTCTCCCCCTCTGCTCCGGCATGTCTCTCTGTGTCCTCCTGTCTAATGTAAGTGATGGACCTTGCATAGATGTGATGACGTCAGCGGGGCTTAGACCGCTGAAGCCCGGGAGGTGGGACCAAGGATCAGGTAAGTATACTTTATTGGCACCCCTGAACCAAAACGAGCAGTTAACCCTTGCAGTGCAGGGGCAGCCCCACAGCATTGGTAACTTTTGAAAATCCTTGAGCTCCTCTTTAATTTACGGGAGACCAGAGCGTGACTTTGTATACTGGAGATGTGGCTTTGGAGATCGAAGGCCGTGCACGCACAACACAATGCACTGAACCTTCATTGAATTTTTCCTGTGTATTTTAAAGTGTTTCAATGCAGTCCGGGGCCACTTCCTTAACTACAAAGAATGTAACAAAAAATGCAAACTAGAAATCCGGGCAGCTAAAACTGAGTGCGAAAAGCATATCGCCGCAGATAGTAAAAAGAACCCCAAAACATTTTACCAATATATTAACAGTAAAAAGGTGAGAAAGGAGCAGATAGGCCCAATAAAGGATGGAAGCGGGAAGCTAGTCACAAACGACAAGGAGAGGGCCGAGGCGCTGAACGCTTTTTTCTCCTCAGTATACACTCGGGAGGGAAACGGGTTTGACACACATGATAAAACTCCCAGTTTAACTCAAAATATACCCCAGTGGTTGACAGAAACCGGGATACAACAAAGACTTAAAATGCTCAATGCAAACAAAGCAGTGGGTCCGGATAACCTGCACCCCAAGGTACTTAAGGAATTAAGCCAGGTTATAACTAGA